AAATATAATTATTTTTCCATATATGTTTGATTTGTAGAACATTTATGATGGTTTTAAACCTCAAAAAAGTTCCAACCCAGTAAATTATAAACACAAAAGGTATGTAATTTCATTTTTTAGTTCTTAATRTTTATGAATTGTAACATAATGTGGTGGTGCTCTCAAATGTTATATTTAATCATTAATATGTTTCACTGAAAGAATATTATGAATTTCTTGGGCTAATTTATCATTTATTAATTTCAATAAATACATTTWAAAAAAAAATTATAAATTTGAATTTGTTATTTCCATTTTTAATAAAAAAAAACTCATTATTATAACTTGAACAATCTAAAGTTGTTTATTATATTTTATATTTTAAGAAATATAGTTTTATTTTGAACCATATTTATTGTGAGCACCACTTACAGTAGTTCACTGTATGTTTGTCAGTGCTGTAGCTTGGGGTGGAGGACAGCTCCTCCACAAAATATCTAACTTATTATACCCGATTAAATTCTTGCAATAAAATATTGAAGCCCCTCTGAAAATTAATTCTGGTTACAACACTGATATTTGAATTATATTAAATTAGTTATTCACTTGTTTGGTTTTTAATTTGATACCTTTAGTGTTGTTGGTCGCCCAAATCGTGTATTACATTTTGAAATTATATGGTCTACAGTTAAAATCACCACAGTAAGTAAAATAGTAAATAGACAATTTTCACAATAAATCACTTTCCATCACTATCAAAATAGTTTATTAATTAATTATGATTTTTATTTAAAATTAACCAACTATAGTTGAGAATGGTTTAATAAATTAAACAGAACTTTCATCCATTTTCAGCATGTATTATATTCAATCTTGAGCATTCATGGAGAAATACTACGAATTGTTGTATACAAAAAATTTAAACAACTCAGAGCATTTGTTGAATATCCTTTTAGTTTATCAATATTTTATTTATGTTGTTTATACTTAATACTGAACTATTTAATACTCAATCGTTTTGATTGTACTTATTTTAAATTGTTTTCTTAACTGATTAACTGTTCGTACATTTAGCAAGGAAGATTGTGCAACAAAGGTATTTGATAAATCTAATTATATCACTTTAGATTATATAACATTAAAAGGTGAATATGCCAAGGTATGTATCTAAAATTGTAACTGAAAATTGTACCATTTTATTATTGTTATAATTTGATAGATTTATTGTATGGAATCCTTAAAGTTTTTGTCATCATCAAATGATTAAGCCACTGTTTGGAAAATTCTGGTTTTTCTTCTAAATATATTATATTTTCCTACTAATATTTACTGCTTAACATGTTTTCTGTGTAAATTAAATAACTAAACAAAATAGGTATAATAAATATCCTAAACTTAAACAGCTTTTGTCATAGTAAATCTTGTTTTTAAAAAATAAAATAATTATTGGTACCCATGTAAAATTTGTTTTTATAAATCTTATTATAGTTTTAATTCAGACATAATTTATTTATTAGTTGTAGATTTAATAACTTATTTTATCAAGATATGCTATTATGCTGTTGTTAAATATTTTGATGAAAGTTGTAAAAATGATATTTTATTAATTTTATAACCACAAATTCTAAAATATAATTGTCCCCATTTAATTTAATCAAACTTTTTTGTTTAGTTGTTTAGTATCTATTGTTTTATCTTAATTATTTTGTATTTGAAGTTCAAGTTGGATGTTCATTTAATTAATGAAAAGTATTATTATTAAATTAACAAATATTTACATATTATATTTATTTCAGCCTTCCAGTATAAATGTATTAAAAAATGATAATCTAACTTGGGATTACTCAAAATCACCCTTATTAGGTACGTCTATTTTTAACATAATAGGATACAAAAGAATATTTTTTTAACTTTTTAGCTTGTATCTCGTATATTCATTTTAGAATTCATTTATTTATTTTAACACTTATAAAAGCATTAATTTATCCTTTACTGTTTGTTTGCCTCTAGATTATGTTAATGGTTTACCTACATTGAAATCTGTTGTTACTGTGGTTTTAAAAGGTAATAAAACTTTTATGTTATTAACTATTTATTTTATATAGTTTTCTAATTAAAAAAAACTTTCCACATGAATATGTCATCAACTATATATTAAGGGTATGCTCTCATAGTGGATGGAGAAGATGGGTGTCTGGTTTTTTTTAATTGATCATGTGTTTAWAATTATTGTTTTGATATAAAAGCTTAAAATTTAAAAACAAAAAAAAACTTGTATCAATAATTGAAAGTATAATATTTTTATTTGATTAATTAAAAATTACTATATTTGACACAAAATGTGTGTTAATGGTTAAATAGTAAGATTTACATAAATATTTACTATCATATTTATATAGTAATAATATGATTATTTTCTTAAGGAATCGTTTAATGATATTGCAATAATTTATGTGTAATACTCATAAAAGATGGTAAGGAGATTTTTTTCCTTTTGCTAAAAAATTACAATATTTCAGCATTTAAAGTACAATCATAATTAACAAGCCCGCTATGTATCATATTTGAGTATACATGTCATRATGCTGAAAAATATTGGTTAAAAAAAGAATCCAAAATGTTAAAAAATTAAAATATCAGTAATCTACTCGCAGATTTTTATAAAATAATGCTTATAAAAGATGCCGACAAAAAATTAAAAGTTTGATTGTACTTGGTGCATTTAATAACTAGTACATGACACCATTAAATGTTATCCACGGTGTACTTCTTACTATCACCTGCAAGAAAGAATACAATTTTTTATTATAACAATGTTTTATCAGTCATATTTTATAAACCTTTACCAYCGCTYTAAATAGCTAAGTATGCCCTGCCATGTATAATGATATTTAAGTTAAATCAATGTATTAATTTAGTTTCAAAGATCATATTTATTTCATGTTCATTTTTATTTTAGATCCACCTCAAAAACTAAACAATAAGAAAATTAAAAAACACGATACAACTTGGGGTCAGTTTTTAATTTACTAAAAATACAATGAAATTTCAATAGTTCAAAGTAAAAATAAAATATGTTAATTATTTTTCATATAGTCTAATCAATTCCGTGCTTTTGTATTCTACAGAACAATAAAAATCATTAGACAAAATTCTTATGTTATTCATGGAACATAAATACATACTATATTGTATCATATCTACACATTTTGTTTTCAGACTATTGAAATTTCTACTATTATGGTCTATAAAAGTAATAATAATATGTGTTTTGTGGAAAATTAATGTAATACAATTTCATATTTCAGAACTGGTGGAAAATTATGATTTTATTAAACCAGTTGATAAACCCCTTGCATCAGGTAACTTTTTAGAAACTATAATAAAGATATTTTTGCAATTAACAAATAAATATTATCACTRTATTTATTTTGTTCTTAATACTTATTTACTATTTTACAAATAACATTCCATTATAGTATTATACTGTAAAATATGTAAAATAGCTTTATTGAATAGAACTAATTTTTATTTTATAATTTTTTTTTTTTTAGAAAAAACTAAAAAAGTACAGCTTGTTATGACCGCAAACCATGAAACCCGTAAAATGTATGTATACTTAAATATGTGTTAACTGTTTTTTTTATGTGTGGACCCTCAGGCACCCAGCATTAAAACTAAAGTGTGCCATCTATATTGGCTGTACATGCCTGTGTACAAGTGTTAATTTATAATTTGTATGATGTTTTTAGTGAGTATGTGTTTTAATAACATATTTTTTCAGGCTCTCGACCATTTCAAATTCAGAAAAATTTTCTRTTCTTTCTGTCCGCGGTCTAGACCCAGCTAAAAGCAATTGCAATCGACTTTTCAGACTATTGTCTATGTATGCAACTGTGGCTAATGTATGATATTTTTAATTTATCATATTATAATTGTATGCTATTATATTATAATTGATTGCTATTTGTTTTAGATAAATTATTTGCGCGAATTAAATTCTGCAGAAGCTCAGATTAGTAAATGCTATGATATCAATTCATTTGCTCAAATTCAACACCATTATCTTTCACATGGATTCAACTTATCATTGCAGTTAAGTTTATTTATTTTATTTCAATGTTAATCACTTATTACCACCATCTAATTTCTAAGTATTTTATGGTGCTTGCCATTTTTATTTTCTTGCTATACGATGTGGTCTATTCCTTGTTGAGTATGTTGGGGGGAGGGGGGCTTGTTTATGTATGTATTGTATTTTTACGGCTGTTATATAAACATAACCAGACAACAATATTGAACAATCGTATTTAATCACTAAACATTACATGTTATAACTTACATTATCAAGTTTATCCCTCCTTACTTAACATTCATGACTAAAAAAAAGTATTAGTCCCTCACTCCCCCACCCATCAATCTTGGCTATGCCATTAACTATATGTATACACTATGGTTTAGTGGTTTAAGATTTTACATGTTTTGATTACTAAAATGGCTTCTTGTATTATTTTTAGGTATTTAAAAGATAAGAAGATAAAAAATCGTTCTATCAATCCATTTGTTTTATCCGACGGATCACCATCATATATAGTCTATGATCGAAAAATGATTCTAGATGCACCAAGTCTTCCACCATCTAGAGTATGTATAACAGAATAAATMATAATTGTTAAATATTACATACTAATTCAGTTACTACTTACTTAAAGTAAATTAAATGTTTTCAATCTTATTATTTAATTACTTCTACGTGATTGAAGTTATTTAAATCAGAAACTACTGTGTCGTGAATATTATATCTATTTTTAAYGTTAGTTTTTATTCAATTATATTAAGGATGATATGCTGAAAGTGGAATTCCTGAATACCTTGTGGCTTGTACTATGTTATAAAGTGGTGGTGTCAGGTTGCTCTGGCCTACCTTAAAAGTTTTGGGCCCTCCGTGTCTGACCTAACAATTTAAATTTAAAATAAATCATAATCYGCTTTTGAAAATGATCTCATAAATCATGATTTATAAGAATATATGAAAATATTGAGCATGAAATGGCATCACTATTGTTTTTTATATATATTAGTAGTAATAACTATGACATATTAACCCACTAAAAAATTTTGGCACCACCGTTGATGTTATATCTATAAAAATTAAATATGATAAAATACCTATATTTTGATGTTTTTGTTTTTGTTTTTGATTTAATGTGTAAAGTGTATGTACACATAGTTAATTATTAAACTAAAAGATTGTTAAGTGTTTCTACTCATCAGTCATCATCATGTTCATATTTACCCTCATGTATTATTATAATTTTATAAAGAAATCACAGGTAATTAGATATTGGCCCTTCAATTATTATCAAATAAAACATATTAATATTAATTAATGTGTTTTTGTTTATGGTATAATATAATATATTTTGCACATAATGAAATCAGTTATTTCAGTATTACAGTTAAAAATATATAGAAATTATGTGACATATATTATGTTTGTGGTTTACAGGGAAATTGTACTACATTAAAAATTGTATTTATAATTATTTATAACTTATCTATTGTTTCCACATACTAATTTGTCTACTTTATTGTTGAAAACCGTATTAATAAGTTATTCAATTTGTTAGTTATTTGAARTTTTAAAACATCAATTTATGAGTATAAAAATTTATTTGAATGTGTATTAATTGTATTAAATGTATAAAAATGTAATTGTTCATCTCCTAATAATTAATTCAACATTTTTATTATTATTATAGGTGCTCCGATTTGATGGAGCTCCGTATATGAAGGAAGAAAATATCATTTCACTGTTAAAACAAAAAATGAAAACAGAAAATGTTAAAGTACAACTGATAACTTCAAAAGGTATTCTGTTGCCAATACTTATCAAATAAATGTATAGTTTTATTTTATTTTATTGCATATAGATCCTAAAAAAAGTCTGACAATAAGCGGTGAAATTTGGTTTTCCACCATAAGTGAAGCTATTGAAGTTGTAATGGAACTTAATTATGCAATTTTTTGGAATAAAGGTATGTGTAAACATTATATCATTTTTTTTTTGTTTGATATTTTATTWAATTAATGTAGGTATATATATTACAAACCTATTGGTTATTAAATAGCTTAGCGTTTTGTATAGTTGTTTTATCATGAAACTAAATTTAAGTTTGTTTTATACATCAACACTTCGGACATAACATTTTAGAAAAATAATAAACTTACTTTCCGTGTACATAGTTGTTAAGTATAAATTTAATATGAATTTAAGATATCTTCAAAAAAAAAAAACTGCATTTATACTGGGTGATTCTTTTATCATTTAACACTCAATATTTCAAAAGTATAAATGTTTTTGAAGTTTTTGAAACAAAAATTTTATGTTTTTTAGTAGTTAAATTTTTTAAGTTTTTACTTTTTTAAATAACATACAATTTTGAGCAATACATACAAACTAACTTAGATATTTATTGCACACAAATGTATTTATGTATTAAGATTGAAGATTTAAAAAACATCCGACTTGGCCTCAATGTAGATATCACTATTCTGATAGACASACTATTTTTGAAGGTGGCCTGGGATTGGCCTTTGTTTCACCGTTAGACTTTTGTTGGATGTGGTTCCTTTTTCTGGCTTCTACATAATAGGCTTTGTATTTGTTTTTATATAGCAATATAGTATTCTAGTTTTTATATAATTGTAAAAATATGCCCTAATGTGCCACTATTTTTGAGAAAATTGCGATTTTAGATTTTTCCTATTATTTGCACTATCAGATTAGATTTACCTTTCACTTTCTACTTATAAGGAAATTATGTTTTTATTTTGATAAACTGCAKTATTTTTATTGTAAGTCAATTTTAGAAATGTGAATATATCAATAATTTTGAATAAATATTAAGTAATACTTCCCATTTTAGGTATAGGAGCTAAATGCAACGCTGGCACTATTTTCAGTGTTGTTAAATTAACCTTTTGACATAATATATCACACTCTTKAATAAATAATTTCACATTTTAAGTAATAAATAAATAGCTACGTTGGTGAAGCATATTAATAATCTCATTCCTGCTATCTTGTTATAGACTTGTAATACCTACTATGGATGCTTCTGAAACCTCGTGAATCATTTTCAGAATACTTTTGTTTTCTTCATCAAATACAACAGAATTTTGTTTATAAAATAAATCATTAGAGAAATAAAATGATTTAGTTTGTCTTTGAAACCAGGATATTTTTGACCAAAATTGGTCTTAAATTAATTAGGTCCTGGCTTTTGATTTCTTTAGCTATTATTTTTTTAGAAATGTTGGTAATCTTCTGCACACCTAGGTCTCATTATGTTCTGTTAATAATCCTAGGATTAACTTACTGAAGAGTAATTTTCCTAGAATGATTTTATTGGGGGTAAGATTTTTTTTTGGATGATTTTACCAGAATGTGAATGTAACAGTTTTTAGTTTATTGAGGAATTTATATAGGTATACTATTTTCATTTTTTTTTGTTAACGTACRTATATATATTTGAGACTGATAGACATTCTCTGGTACTTAAATTCATTTTTCATTGTATGCAGAGATTTATCGTTAATTTCAAATTTAATACATTTATCAAAATGAGTTACCTAATGACGAAGTACACACAGCTACCATACATACCATACACCTACTATACAGCATATTAACTAACTTGGTTTTATAGTCTTATTTACTTGTACTACAACTTATAAATTAGGTATAACTAACATTGACTGCATTCCCTATTTTTTAGCTTTAAAATTGTTTGAATTATTTTTTATTACTTTAGATACCAATAAGAAGGAACACGTGTTGAAATTTTCATTTATTTCTGAAGTACTACCAATACCTAAAATAATTGCGATCAAAATAGAAGATGATTGCAMAGAAAATAATCTACAATTAAACAAAAAAATCAAAACCGAAAATTAATTTTAAATTTGTATTTAATATTATGATTTTGCATACTGCCTATTATGCCAAAATGTTTTGGCATATATTATAAAAATATGTTACTACCCATTTACATAAAATAATGGCTCTAAAAAGTAGGTAACTTAGATTAATTTATTTTGAATTCTCTATTAGAGGTATCTAACTTTTTTTTTCTAAAATCTAAATTATAAGGTTATATTAATTTTATTTAACACTAATACATAATATTTATTAATAGAATAAATTGTACTGTTTTACACTACTATTTCATTATTAACAACTACAGAAATAATATAACAATTATATAAAATAAATATATTAAATAATAACAACTYGTATTACATTATTAATTATTGGAATCAACATCAAGAATAAATATTTTCTGGAAAATGTTTTATCAGTATAATATATAAAACATTTGTGGGCGTATTATTATTTAGTAATGAAAAAAGCTTTTTTTGCTGATATATTATAATAATTGATTTATGTATTAGATAGCGGTTCCCAACCTTTTTAGTTTCATGGACCACTAATTTTGTAAAAAAATATTTGAGGCCCACCCATAGCATACCTATATACGTTTTCATAAAATTATAATATATATATATATATACAATATACATGTATATATAGTTATTAGGAACAAAAAATGTTAAAACTTAAAAAAAAATTGTTTATCAAAAAAAACTTAATTATATAATATTTAATACTATATATATGGCYCGCGGCCCAGTACCATGCTGCTCATGGCCCACCAGTGGGCCGCGGCCCATGGGTTGGGAACCGCTGTATTAGAGAAAGGGGTACAACTCGTTCAGTTTATCTTGGCACTTGGTAATTGTAAAATATTTAAAATAGCAGTGGTTTGAAAACAAAATTTTTTTAATACAATAATTTAGGTTTGAACCATTATTTCTTTTAGTCACACTATTGCCGAGTGCCCCGATTAACTGGATGGATTATACATGTATGAAAAATGTGSGTTTATTCATGTAATGTTTTATTTTAACTGTCAAAATTGTATTCAAAAATGTATTAACATTATGCATTTCAGAATTTATAACAAAAAAATATATATGTATAATTTATATTTATAACAATAGTATAGTAACAGTCAGTAAAGTAGTAAGTATAATTTGTATACATTTAAATATTATAATACAATCGTGTATAGGTATACCTATACTATTTTGATAAAAGGTAGGTGGGATAGGAGAATGATAAAATTATTCAAAGTTTATTTGTGTACTTTTACATTGGTAACCAACCCGTAATTATTCACAACTCCTGAAAATTGTGTATGTGTTAATTAATCAAGAATTCGTGAGTCGTTGTAGGTGATGGGATTTTAATAGTTCGAAGGAACGAAATCCGATTTTTTTCCCATAATGAAAATGTCATTGGAAATATCCACCCTGTGTAGGTGGACACAAACGAGTCTAACGAGAAGCATATATATCCATGTCATATGATTTTTCTACTCCGTTAATTGCCTAGAATGATACTTACTGCTGATGGCAGCTACTGCGTACCTACTTACCACTCTGGTGCCTCACAATGTGTATGAGGTATTGGGTGGAGCTGGGTTCTAGGAGCCCGTCTACGAATAATATTAAACTATGATTTGTATGAAACAATTATTGTGCATATGCAACCGTCAATCGATCACACGAGTTTTGAATTTTTGATTTCGTAAAATATCACAGAAGACGATCAGCGGTGGCGCTAGGGGGAGAGGGTGACATACTTTGGATTTGTTCAAGTCCCCGCCCCTCCCACCGTTAAAATCCGAGGTCCCGAAAACTTTGTTTGCTCAGGGCTCGCAAACCTTCCACCGTCACTACAGATGATCCAAACGACAAATGGCTGCTCGAGTTCTACCAATCACCGATGATACTATGCGTCTATGCTTACTGCGTTATAGGTATAACAGTTTTGAAAAAAATGAATATTTTTATGGTCTGTTGCCCGAATGTTGGCAACAACTATTTAATTTTAATAACTATAGATATTAGATTCGTAATTTTCACAAAAATGGTCGGTAGGTATTATTATACTATGTAAAACTGAAGAATTAGTCGAGCCACGTTTTTAGATTGAATTGCTAAACTACTACTCTGCATAAAAAAAAAAAAAAAAAAAAAAAAAAAAAATAAAATTGTTTGCAATTCAGTTATGAGTGGGTTGAATAATTTTATGAAAAAAAATGTAATTAAAAATTCTCTTAACTCGCTTAGAGAAATAAAAATATTGATAGAAATTAACTAGAAGAAGTCACAGAGAATGATCTGCTGAATGCAAATTCGCTAAACGTCGTCGATAATAATATGCAACGCTTGTAATGCAGAAAGTGCGGATATCGGGATATGACGACGTCCTCGCGCAAAATGTTGGCTACGAGCCGTCTGAAACGATCGACTAGCCTCAAAATCTAACATCTTAGCTATAAATCAATCAATAGAGCGTCTATTATAAATGGTGGTGGCTCGAACGATTCGATAAATATTTTATAAGTATGATAATACAGCTACAGCCGATCAGTGGCGGTTTTTAGGGGAGGCGAAGGGGGCGCTCGCCCCCCCCCCCCTTGGATTTTTTTTGTGTCAACTTTTATGTTCTGTAAGTTATATATGCAACTATTATGGTGGGTGGGGGGCACAAAAATTGAAAATAGCCCCCCCCCTTGATGTTTTATCAAAACCGCCACTGCAGCCGATCAACCGAATTCAAATCACTTTTCAGCGACAACAGTGCAGTTCATATTGTACCTGCTATAATAATATTGTTTTATATTCGTACAACGGTGGACGTCTGGGCGTATATTTAATACTAAATCCAACGAGCGCCGCCGTTCGATCTGTAGTCCATCTATGCGGTGGTAGTTTGATAAAAAATAAAATAAAATAATACGCTAAAAGCTTTTAGCGTGAGTGTGGGCAAGCGGCGGATTGCAGTCAACGGCTTGTCCGGGACGACCATCCGGCCGGAACGCGGGTGGGGCCGGTGGACGGTGCAGTTTGTTGTGCACGCCATCCCCAGTTCCTTTGATTGTAAACGTCACGAAATATCGCCTGTTCTTGTCCAACTTGTCGGTAGGTAAGTCGATGGCCTGCGCGCAAGGGCCGTTGCCCAGCTGTAGTGTGATCGGCCTGGACGGGTCCACGTTTCGCAGGCACCGGGTGGTGGTTCCGCCGGATATATCCTGGCCCGTCCGAATGTCAGGCAGGAAGCGGTGACGGCGGCCGTCGTCCGCCGGCGGTTTCGGCATCCGATGGTGGTCCAACCGGAACTTTGGTACTGAAAAATATGCGAACAACGATCATCATCATAATGTGACATGAGTCATGTCGTTCTATATACGAACATCTAAGGATAGATCAATGGTCCTCTAAAGGAGGGGGCCGTAAAAGTGCACCATTTTTGAAAAATTAACACATTCTTAACTACTTTTCTCTAAAAACACCTGCTACGTCAGTGGAATATTTTGGTAGCGGGACAAACACATGGCTAGAGACCATAGGACACATTTTATTGCGGCCTTAGAATGTACTCATTTTAGAACTTTCTTTTCTATAATTTATTGTTGACCTATCAACTTCCTACGTCTAGTAATATTGTGATACAAGACGTGTTTATTTATTGTACAAATTAAACACATAATTTACCATTTTACTTAAAATGTTGTTTCATGAACATTTTAATATAAAGAGCGTATTATTAAATGCATAGGTATTATAAATATTATAACCTATAGAGAATAAAATTCGAAAAAATATATACAAAAATTTAAATTTCAAGATGAAATAAAAAATACCTACCTAGTGTATTAGATAATGCAAGTTCTTTTATTAAAATCATAATTTTCTAGATTTGTTGTAGCGAGATACACAGCTAGCCCAGCTAGGCAATCGATACCTAATGAGTAATGATGAGTCCGAAATGCGTCTTGTTTAATACATAGATAAAGTAGGTGGCCAAATAATTGGAACTTTTATATTTTTATTTATAAGATAAGTAGGTACCTCTATTATAGTAATGTAACGTATATTCGAATAGTTCTATTGTAAATAATTCGAATATTCGAACATTCGAATATCAGTATTCGATACTACAATACCTAATTTGTTTTTTCCGTTTTTCCATGGCAAGCTTTTTATACTATTTATTATTAATAACTAATTTATATCTACACAACTAAAGATAATGTATGTCAATGATTAATCGACCTAAATACGAAAATAGATCTTATCTTGCAGGTACCTGTTCGTAGTTATTTTTTTTGTAACTTATACATTATTATTAATAATAATTTAATTATGATATTCCAGTATTTTGCACAATTTTTATTTTTGTATTTTAATAAATTGCCCTGTCAAATAGTAAATATCGCTGGCTTCGAAGTTCGAATCCACTTCTCGCAGGCTTTTATACGCCATATAATATTATTATTAAACGTTTTGTGTTGCGTGAAAACTTAAACGAATAATTTTCGTTACGTAGTATTGTATTGTAGCATCGAATACTGATATTCGAATGTTCGAATATTCGAATTATTTACGATAGACCTATTCGAATAATTCCCATCACTAGTACCTACCTATATACTCTCCACCTGAGAGAATAGATGCATAACAATTCGCGTTTATTCTATTTATTGTTCCAGAAAAATACATTGCTCTTACTAAAATGTTTGATGTCACAATAAATATAAGTAGGTACCTAGTTCAAATTATGCAAAGTCCATAACATAAAAAATATGTTCTGGAATTTTGTTGATTGATACCTACTGGACTAAACTTCTCGATACTGCCCAGCCATATTTACCACATTATTGTATTTACCTATTTCATGTCTGTAATCATACATTTTAATCTCATAAAAGGGCTGTGCATTGACGTGCACTGGGAAACTGTCCTTCTCCTGGTGACTGACGCTATCAAACAAATCCTTGAAATCCTCATCTCATACCAGGTAAGTACTCAACAATAAAAACTGTCTGTGGTGTGATTATGGGAGGGGGGAATAAATAATATAAATAACGAATTAAATATTTTGTGATAGGTATCATGAAAAGAACCTTCGTAGGTTATTACAATATCAATTCGCCCTTTTAACGGAAACGCAATAATAAAACAGTCGACCTTCGAAATTGCCCTTCTGTGTATTTCCGTGCAGCAGTCTTGTTGTGTCATATTGCACGTGATTGTACGTTATTAAATTAATATTTATTATCATACTTAAAACCCACTCGTGTAAATGGCGGCGTCGTACTCACTGTATGCGGCACAAGGCACACCGGTGTATGCGTGAGTGGCGTGAAAACACCTGTTCGTGGTCCGGACGCACGACAGACAATCGTTTGGATTCTCCAGCACTGTTTTTCCGGCGTCGATCCGGCGCAAAGCTCCGGCCAGTTTTTCCACTTCGTCGATTGACTGCACCCTGGGTACCTTGATTTTGTCGTCAGTCAACGATTGTTTTTGCAATACCAGTAGTTGATCTAAAAATTGATTTTTAGGAAAAAAAAACAAGCATATTTGTTAAGCACACTTTAAAATACAGAATAAGAGTATGCTATAATGTATCCTATGTATAATGTGTATAATATATGTTATGTACACTCTTCGGAGTGCAGAGGGGTGCTTAGGTATCTGATAATTTATTCTTTGATCTCTGATCATAATATAGCTATAAAATATGTAAAAAATTGTGTTAGAGGAAATAACGTGACGTATGGTTACAATGCCCCAAGTTATAGAATMTTTTTAGAAACACTAATTTGTACACAAAAGTATTGAATAAATATAATATCCATATAATATATAATATGTATAAGGTACAAATTCATGTGGTTTGCATATTTTAAATAAAAGCTTATGCATCCATGTCTGCATGAAATTATATTATACATTTAAGTACTACCTATATTATATTATATATTTTAAAATGTATTATATTTTAAATAGAAATATTGCATATTACATCATACAATATATACAATATTATAACTTACAAGGTTTTAAAGTAGATACATATTACAAGCCTACAACCTACATAAAATATTTTCAAAGATAAACGGATTTAAAATTAAGTAAGTTATCAAAAGTGAAATATTTAGGTAGCAATAGAGTAAATAATTATAGCTTATTAAACACGTCGTTCACGTGTTATTTTATACATCTGCGAGATTGTAAATCGTAATAACAGGCGTTAAATTATGACGCTAAATATATGACCCTGCACGAGGGGTTTTGTTTGTTGCGTTTTGCAATAACCTAGGTAGCTTTATAAGTACATAAGGTATGACTGTATGAGTGTATGGCATGAAACATTTAACCACAGTGCGTTTCTCAGATACATATACTTTATAACAATAGGTAATTACGATATAACTGTAGAGTAATAGCAAAAATTATATAGATATGACTTATGTGATATACGTATATAATGTATACGTGTATGGATAGTTCTGATGTCAATATTATTAATATTGGAMTAGGTAAAACGAAAAGGCAACTTTTACATGAAACGCTTAAAATGTTTACGCTCACTTAAATATTATGCTTACACAGCTCAATATAGACACGCAACCCACGCATGTTGTGTTTAAAATTATTGTGTACTAGGCACTATGTTACATGCAGTGCAACTAAAAATGTAGATAAAATAATATTAATAGTAAAGTGGAACATTTCAAAATGATTCACATACATAGGTATTTAATAATAAAACGATTATTATTCATTGCAGTTTTTTTTTTAAATATAGTTATATTCGATTTTTAGTTTTAACGCAAAGAYTATAGACTCACCGTATAAATATTTTTCAAAACGCTTAAACGAAAAGGGTCCGTCGTATCTTTTCAATCCAGTAAACAGTCCTGTATTACCATACTCTTCAACCAGTCGTTTAACCAATACTCGTTCGTCAGACTTACCCGCTCTGATTTGTAATCGTTTTAATTCTGACAGTTGATAAAAAATTAAGCGTTCCAAATTATACCTAAGATAAAATAATACAGTGTGTATCAAACAGATTGTATCGCTGTATTTTACTTCTTTAGATTATCTAATGTCAACTATTCAAATTCAAAATTAATTTAAGATTTTTTTTTTAAATATATATTCTTTATGATCAACTTACTTTCTGCTGCTCAATTGAACAGCTTTCGTTACAGACATGGTGTTTAGATCAGAAGTAGGCGCTAAACTACAATAATTATTCAATCGAGGGATTCGGCTTTTCATTTTTTCTAAAATGAAACATGATCATCAGAATACAATAATATTATTATTTAAATCATTACAATAATACAGATACATAATGTACTGTACCTAATTAGTAATTCACAAACGAAGACAACAGTTTTTTTCTAACTATCCTATATTTTGTTTTAAAACATAACTTGTAACTAATTATTTAGTGAATCTGTTTAAACGTACATTTAGAGATATCCGTTACAATGTGGTATTGTGGTTACTA